CTCTTCAATTAGCTTTTAATATCGTCACCAAAAGCTACTTCAGCTCATGCAATTGGTAGCATAATCCACACACAGTGATAATAAAGCTAGATACTATAATGTGGCTGTAGACAATGAAAATTTTATTTAATTTATTTAATCAAGATAAAAACAAAATCGTCCTGATTAAATTAAATTAAATTAGATTATGTCAAGTCCATTTATCTTTGTGTCATATGGCTCTCAACATAAAGGTACAAGATCCATTTAAACTAAAGTAGATTAATTGATTGTCAATTCACAATGGTTTTATTAAAGTCCAAATTAAATGAATATTTTGGCAGTAATTGGGAATGCCATTATGCCTCCGTTCTTCTTTTCCAAATGGTTTTGTAACAAAATAAAGTATTATCTCACAAATTAGGTTGTTTTTTCCAATTCACTATTATTTGAGTAAATGAAAACTTCCACTACCCATTAGTCGCATCTTTTAATATGTTTTGTATGTCAGAGTATCACATTTTTTCAAGTGTATTTATATTCTATCATTATTACTCTGCAAATACAAATTGTACATTCATTTGTCTCTTCTTTCATTTTAATATTCGATATGATATGCGCTGTCTAGTTTTCAATTCGTAAATTGGACAAAATTATGTACATTCGATTCTTATATTTAGTAAATTATAAATTGGTAAATTTCTAATCTATTCCATATGTTTTCCAACTTACGAAAATTAAACCATATCTCCTAAATGGAAAGTTCAAAATCAACTAACAATCTTTAACCATCACACTCACCCCATTTATTAATTTTCCGTTAAAGGCTTTTCTCTTATTACACTTTTTTTTCTTTATACTTTGCTGAAATGGTATGAAAGATCACTATGTTTCGTATGATGTCCCAATTTAACCATGGGTTAGGGTTCATTGGAAACTAGTCATTATACTGTAAATAAGTTCTTTGCTCATATTCTAAGTAACTCTCAATAGTACGTTCTTCCCAAAATGATCGGGAGTTTAGCAAATAATCTTGCCCATATATCATGACTAATTACAATTTCATAGCTAGGACTGAAATTGCAGCCATTGAGTTTGTCAAATGTCCACAAAATTTAATTGAAATTAGACAGTCAATTTTCGGCAACTCGATTTTTATTAGCTTTCGTTAAATACAAAATTAGGCTGGTGCTTACTCGGATTGAAAGTGATTATGAGTTTTCGATTTCCATTTTATCCGACAAATCTTTATGTTTAATTCTTTTTTTCATTTTTCATTTTATGTATTTGTGTGTGTAATTAATTACTTATGCCTCACTAACTGTCGTGTTACCCATGTATGCCCCATGTCATTGCCAATATTTATTATTCTTACTTACTATTTTCTTTTCCATCTTTTCATTTTTCCTTCTTATTTCCAATTGTTTGCTTCAACTGCTTTTTGATATTTCATTTTTTTTTCCATTTACATCAACTTTGTCGTATTTGTGACAATTGACTAACAACCTAACAGGAATTTATGCCTTTCTAAATTATTAGTATTTCATTTGCTGTTATTGACCTGTATGATTTTTCATACTTTATTATATGTGCATTCATCACTTGCTCTTCAAATCGTTATTTTCCCTTTCCAAAAACAAAAGAAATATATATATTTTCATTTCTATTATTTTCATATCTGTTATTTTATTGCACTGTCATGCCCTCTATAAAATTGTTTGGTAACAAATTGCATGCCATTCTATTTTATATTACAAATTGATCCCTCATACAATATTTCATTATATTTGTTCGATTACTCCCTCACCCACCAGTTACTTTCTCCATCCCACTTGGTTAGACTTGTTTTCTTGTTTCATTCTATTTTCCTATTTCATTATATTGTCCACTTTCCAATTAAAAAAATGTAGTTAATTTTTAACTTCACTAAAATACCCTTATTTAAGGGTTATTATCACTTTACCCCATTAACGTTTGGTGTCACTATCAATTTCCCCCTTAACGTTATCTTTTCGTCACTTTACCCCCAAAACTAACGGTCAAACTTAACGAAATTTCTTAATTAAAGTGAAAAGACATGTTTAACCCTTAAAATTATTATCACTTTACCTGCATAAATTATAGTCTCATTATTAATTTCCCCCATAGAGTTATTTTTTAGATAATTTATTCTACCATTAGACCAACTTAGCAAGTTAAAAAACTTTAGGAGAAAATACCCTCCTCTTTGCATAATAAAAATAATATAAAAAATTTAGAGTGGCTATTCTTCTTTTTAATATCAAGAAAAAAAGTCAAAGTATTAATTTCTTTTTTCTTGTCAATCTTATTACTATAAAAAAAATAGAAAGATGGAGAGGGGGAGGGGGAGAGGGAGAGAGGGAGAGAGGGAGCTCAATTCTTTTTTAAAAAATTACAAATAAGAAAGAATTAAATACTTTTATTATTTTAAATTATTTCACTTTTCTGTTTACTACCAAATTCCAATCCTAATCCCGATAACCTTAACGTAATACGATAATGTTAAACTTTTTTTTTTTTTTTTGTCTTTGTAAAATCTAATTTTCTGTCTCCTTCTTTCCTATCTCCTTTTCTTTTCCTAGTATTAATAAGTGTGAAAAAAGAAATTTGAGAAAACCCTTTTATTTTTATGTTTTTTGATCTCTTAAAGTGAAAAAAAGGAAGAATAATCATTCCAACTTTTTTTACTTTTAATTATATATAAAAAAGGATAAATATATTTAAAATTTTTTAACCATACTAGTTAGATTAACGATGAGGTAAAAGGCCTGAAAAATAATATTAGGAACTAAAGTGATTGTATCACTATAATCTAAACGAATAAAGTGATAATAACAACGTAGTAATGCTATAAAATAAAAGGGTATTTTTGTCCAAAATTTCTTAACATGTTGAGTTAAATTATTTATGGGGGTAAAGTGACTAAAAGATAATGTTAGTGGGTAAACTGATAGTAGTGATATAGTTTAAGGGGGTAAAGTGATAATAACCCCTTATTTAATGTACTTTATTATCAATGAGTATAGCTTACCGTATTTAATTATAGTAAGGCTAATACTTAATTCTTATTTAATTATAGTAGGCATAATACTTAATTTATTCAAATGTATTGGCATATCAAAGTGGGAGCAACTAAGGGGTCGTTATCATTTTTATGGGTATTTTACCATTGAATTAATAACAACCATTGGATTTAAAAAGGTGCCTTACTAACAGTATAATTACACAATGGGTAGAAGTGTAATAAGAGATTACGTTTATCCCTTAGCAAAGATGTAGAAATAGACAACCTATAGTACCAGTTCTATGTCTTTCATTCTCCTTATTGTGCTCACACTTTAATAAAACATCTTTCCTTCTCCTAGTTCTCCTTGTACATGATTAATTTGTTAAAAAAAATCCAAATATGAAAAGGTATTCCACATTTATGACTTCAAAAAACATTAAACTGCTAAACATATAAATGAAAAATCATTTCTTTATAATAGTGTCATCCATGTTTAGTGATTGTACAATTTTCATTATGCAATACAAAATGATTTTTTTGAATTACATTCTCTACTATCAAGTAAAAATGGGTTTTACAGTTGCAAGCAATATTTTCAAGTGTTGAAAGGTTCTCTAGTTGTATAGGTACAGATGATTAAAATACAAAGTCAAAATATTGGAATTTCTTTTTTGATGTAGTACCTGCTATGTTAATTAATCGTACAATTTTGTTATTCCATAATACAAAATTGCTTCTTCCTTGTACATCGTCATGATTCTATTAATTTCTTTCCATATGATTGGTTTATAAAAAAAAATTAATAATAGAAGATTTCGTAGTTTTACAACTATAAATTCTTTGGAATAGTACAATCCAAGTTAATTGATGGTATAGTTATCCTATTTTGCGGAATGATTTTATTGATTATACATTCACTACTATCGAGTAAATATAGCCATTCTATTGTTCTGTTTTCCTTTTATTTTTACCTTTTTCATTCTAGAAATTATTATCAAATATCAAAAGGTCCTCAAGTTGTACTTGTACCAATGGCTAATGTACTAAGTCGAAAAATAAAAATTGTTTTTTCATGTAGTACCATCTATGTAAAGTAATGGCACAATTTCTCTATATTATAATACAAAATAGCTTTTGTTAGTATAATAAATTTGAATATTAAAAAATCACTCTAGTTTCACAATTACAAAATATTCAATTGCCAAATTAATAAGTGAAAATTTATTTCTTTGGGATAGTACCATCTAATTTCAATGCTTGTACTACTTTAGTGTTAAGCAGCACAAAAAACGATTTTCTTCACTATATAATTGCTATTGTTTAGTAAAACCGCTTCTATCTTTTCCATTTTTTGACATTAATGGTTGTACACAATCTTTTTCAATATAAAAATGTGTACAAATAATTAATATAGTAAGTTAGTTTGCTCTCGTCGGAAAGTTTTCTAAGGGAAGGCCGGTTATGGAGGATGTTCGGAAATTTTTCATCTCTCTTGATCTGAAGGATTCGTTCTCCGTTGGGCTTCTAGATGGACAACATGTTTTGATCCACTTTAATAATGAAGCTGATTTTATGCACCTATGGATAAGGAATATTTGGTACGTTTATGGTTGTCCTATGCAGGTGTTTAAGTGGACAACATCCTTTCACGTGGACAAGGAGTCTTCCTTGGTGCCGGTGTGGTTCAGTCTGCCTAAGCTCCCCATCCATTTGTTTAACAAGTAGTGTCTATTCCAGATTGTCTCTTGCTTGGGACGGCCTTTATTTGTGGATTCGGCAACTACTACGTTATCACGGCCAAGTGTTGCTAGGGTATGTGTGGAAGTGGATCTTTTGAAGACTTTGCATTCACAGATTTGGATCCAAATTGGAGAGGGTCATGGGTTTTGGCAATCTTTAAATCCAGAAAATTTATCAAATTATTGTTGTCACTGTTACCGACAAGGTCATGGAGAAGAAGACTGTCACATTAAGAATCCTAAGCTTTGACCAAGACAACTATCACGTCCCGAGGCACAACCTATTTTAAAGCTTCGACCTAAGAAGGCTAATGAAAGTGGTAATCTGCAGGTTTCCGCTACGACTGCCACATACAATAGGCAAACTACAACGGTTTCTACTGCTTGGCAGGTTTCCTCTACGACTGCCGCAGACAATGGGCACATTGCATCTGCTTCTACTGCTGGGATTGGGGTATCATCAGGTGTAGTTGACATTCTCATAGTCCCAACTTCCGAGATTGGTTCTACCCAAATTTCGAATGGGTTGGAGTTGACGTTAAATCAGGCTGTTGTAATGACTGATGCTGAAGTTATTGTTGCTGAACGAATTCCTATTCAGGCTATTGGGCCAAGTGTATCACTTGGTTTGTTTGAGGTTGAGTTTCATAAGATACAAAAATTCGAGGGTTCGCTGGTTGGATCTTCTGCTCAAGTTAACTTATCAACTATGATCGATGATGGTATCAAATCTGCTGCTGGTCATATCATTCAAGATGTGGTTGTTCGAGTGATTCAAGAAAATGCTGAAGAGGCTGCTAATTATGCTGGTGTTGCTGCCTCTAGTGTTGATGGATCCAAAGGGGAGGAGGAGGATGTTTTGGAAGAGCTTCCCTCTCAGGCAGGAAATCTGTCGCCGTGTCATCCACCTCGCCACAGGAATTTGGTGGAGCTCTCGCATCCTCTCGTTGAAGCGTTGAATGTTGATCAAGTGGCGGTGTTTGAGCAAGGGTTCAGTCCAGCTAAACATAGGGGTATTCGTGCGAAATTCCCATCAGATCGATAGGGAGCTCAGGTCTGTTTCAAGAACTTCTCAAAATTCATTTAAAGTGTTATCCCATGATTAATGCACTTTTCTGGAATATTCGAGGGATTTCGAAATCTTCTAATATAGACATTTAAAGAGATTAGTTAAGATGCACAAATAATCAATTGTTGGAGTGTGTAAACCTAAATTGTTTATGGGAGAAACTGATGCAATTCGTATGCGTCTGAACTTTGATTACGTGGTGTATAATTCATAGGGTGATTTGTGGGTTTTCTTTAGTGGTCCATTTGGTTGTCAGATAATAGGGATTTCGGATCAACATTTGTGCTTATGTGTGCTTCATCCTCAATTTCCTTGTCCAGTGATAGTGTCATTTGTGCATGCTAGATGTACTTCTGCTGAGAGGCATTATTTGTGGAGGGATTTGCTTCAAGACAAACCATGTGGAGCAGTTTGGTGTATTGTGGGGGATTTCAATGTGATTGTGTATTCTAGTGAGAAGAAGGGTGGCAAGCCCTATCATCCCTCTGAGGGGTTAGAGCTTTTGGATTTTATGAACAATGTTGGCATTTTTTATGTTGAGTTTTTGGGTTCCAGATTTACATGGTGCAGTAATAGGTATGGCCGGGCAAGAATTTGGAAATGGTTGGATCGAATGCTGATTAACATTGAATGTTTAGACATGGCTTCTTCGATTTTGGTTTCCCATTTAGTGTGTGAACCATCAGATAATGCACCGCTCCTTATTTCCTTCTCTTCTAGGTTGGATAACAAGTCTCGCTTGTCCAGATTTCTAAATATTTGGACTTCAAATGATGGTTTAAGGGCTGTAATAAAGGCAGCCTGGCAAGTAGAGGTGACAGGTTCTCCATTCTACATTGTACGGGTGAAATTGTGTGGTGTTGCTAGAGCTTGCAGTAGTGGAACAAGGAGATATTTGGGGATGTCTTCTGCAACGTGAAGAAGGCTGAGAAAGCTGTACTTATAGCTGAAAACTGCATGCAGTTGGATAACTCAGAGGAGGCTCATATTGAATTACAACGGGTCAAGACCGAATTAAAAAGGGTATTGGCCATTGAAGAGCAGTTTTGGCGTCAAAAGTCTAGAATTAAGTAGCTACAGCATGGAGATCGAAATTCACGATATTTTCATTCGGTGGTCAAACAGCGAAGGTTTCAGGCAATGATTCATAGAATTAAAGACGTGAGTGGTAAATGGATTATGGATGACGATGAAATAGGAGCAGAAGCTATTGGATATTTTGGTACATTGTTTTCGGTAGACCCTATTCCTGAGTATCAATTGTTGCATGCTATCCCTAACTTGAGCTCTGATATCAACAATAATTTGTTAGAAGCAATCCCATCATTGGATGAAGTTAAGAAGGTGATCTTTGACATGGATGGGGATAGTGTAGCAAGACCGGATCGATTTACGGGAAAGTTTTTCACATTTGCTTGGGAGATGATAGCTCAGGACGTCTACGAGATGATAGTAAGTTTTTCTGCAGTGCGGAACTTCCTCATTTTGTAACTGTTATGTCTATTGTCCTTATTCCAAAGGTTATAAATCCTTAAGATTTTACCCAATTTTGCCCTATTAGTGTTTGTAATTTTTTGTATAAGGTTATTTCTCGGATATTGGCAAGCCGTTTGGCATCTATTTTTTCCTATATTATTTCCCCTCAACAAAGTGGTTTTGTGAAGGGGTGGACTATATATGATAATTATCTTTTAACTCAGGAGTTGATATCTAACATTGGTAAGAAATTCAGGGGCGGAAACGTGGCGTTGAAACTTGATATGGCTAAGGCGTATGATAGGATGTTTTAGTTGTTTATAGTAAATATGTTGCATCGTTTTGGATTTGGGGAAAGGTTTATTGACATGATTTGGAGGCTTTTGTCAAATGTTTGGTTTTCTGTGATAGTGAATGGAGAGTCTTTTGACTTTTTAAAGTTCTCTAGGGGGTTTTGGGAAGGGGATCCATTATCACTAGCATTGTTTATGATTGGGGAGGAGGTGCTATCTAGAGGCCTGAACTTGTTAGCTTCTCAATCGGATTTCTGGGATTTAAAGGCCCTAGAAATTATCCCCCTATTTCCCACCTGGCGTTTGCGGATGATGTTACAATTTTCACTAATGGTTCCTCTCCGTCTTTGAAGAAAGTTATGAGTGTTAGATTTGTATCAAAATGATTCTGGTCAGTTAATAAATGCACATAAAAGTGGCTATTTAGTTCATCCTCAGGGTTCGGTGGTTTGGCATAGGGTTATTGAGAAGATCACCAATTTTAAAAGGAAAGGTTTCCCAGTTCGGTATTTAGGATCTCCGCTATACTTTGGTAGATGCAAAAGTGCTTACTTTGCATATTGGTATCAGGCGATTGCTAACAAGGTGTTCTCGTGGAAGTCTCAGTTGTTATCTCATGGTGGTAAGATTAGTTTGATTAAACATGTGCTTTCAAGCATTCCTGTTCACTTGCTTACATCGGGGGTAATGTCTAAAGGTACATTTCATATTATTGAAAAGGTTTGTGAGAATTTCCTTTGGGGTACATACCAAGAGTCGAATAAATTTCATTGGGTTGGATGGTGGGATCTTTGTTATCCTCCGGAGGAGGTTGATGTTGGGTTTCGATCCATTTATGAGAGTTATAGGGTATTTTCATGTAAGTTGTGGTGAAATTTTAGGAGTAGATCTTCATTGTGGGCAAGTTTTCTGCATGCTAAGTATTGTTACGGAGTTCATCCGTGTCAAACCCAAATCAGCTCTGCAAGCTCGGGTATATGAAAAAGGATGTTGGACATAACGGGGCTGGCAGAGTTATTTATATTTTGGAAGCTGAATAGTGGAAGTTGCAATTTTTGATATGATAATTGGGTAGGGTCAGGGGCTTTGTACCTAAAGGTTGATGTGCAAGGGAATGTGGGTTTTTATAATGCACTTGATACTGGGGTTTGGAATAGAAGATTGTTGTATCAAGTTTCACCGGTTGACATTGTTAAAAAAAAATTTGGATATGGAGGTTCCAGATAGGAACTTACTGGATGTCACAATTTGGGCTTCATCTTCATCAGGCATGTTTTCTTTATCTTCTGCCTTCCAGGAGATTCGGGATGTAAGAAAGTCATCATTTGTGTGTAGCAAGATTTGGCATTCGCAAGTGTCATTGAGAGTCTCCTTTTTTATGCTGCGCTTGCTTCGGGGAAGATTACCTTTAGATGATGTGTTATCCTAGTTCCAGTTTCAGATGCCTTCCAAATGTTTTTGTTGTGTACACTCCCATTGTGCGACGGCTAAACATGTGCTTTTGGAAAGGGAGTTGGTTGTGGCAGTTTCACATTATTTTGGTTCGTCTTGTGGAATTCGTTCTGTTGGTGATCATTTAAGGGGATTGCTGGCTAGTTGGTGATATAAACTAGCAAGGACGGAACGATTAAAATTTATTTTTCGCCTTTTGCCAATATTTATTTGCTGGAACCTATGGAAGGCAAGGAATGTAGCTGTCTTTCAAGGAGTGAAATTGGATTCTCAATCGGTTTGTCGAGCCATCTTTTAGGACTTGAAGGATGCATATTGGATTAAGTTTAGAGAGTTGCAAGATGTTGTTTACTGACCTCAATTCTTGGGGTCTGTGGCGCAACGATGCGAGGAGATTACAATAACAATGGTTCATTAGGTGTCTCCTCAGTTGCGGTAGGTTAAGCTCAATATATATAGTTGCTCGAAGGATAATCCAAAAGTGAGTGGAGGAAGGCGGATAATGCGGGATTCCTTGGGGCGATAAATTTTTTCTTTTTTTTGCATTTTTTGGATCTGGTAGTAACATGCAAGCTGAGGCCAAAGCTTTGTTGGTAGGGATTAAACTATGTTTTCAATGGGGAAATATGCAGTTAGTGGTTGAATCTGACTCGATGGTACTTGTGCGGATCCTGAATACAAAGTATCAGTGTCCGTGGTCTATTAGTAGGGAACTAGAGTAGATTCGTGTCTTCTTTTCTGATATCTTAAAGTTTCAACATTGTTATCCAGAGGCTAATAAGGTTGCTGATATTTTGGCGAATGAAGGTTGTGTCAGTCCACAGTTCGAGGTGTGTGCATATGAGCGAGTAGCTGAGTTACCGAGGCTGGCTAGAGGGGAGGACAGGTTGGACATGTTATCTTACCCTTCCTTTCAAAGGCGACGAAGTTCTAAAAGTCAATCTCCTTGAAATTTCTTTCTAGTTTGTATTATTTGAGGTAAGGCTTATGCCCTCTTCATTATCAGTTTGGTATTGTAATAAACTTTGGGCTGGCATCCAGACCCCGTGAACGAGGATTGCCAAAAAAAATTAATATAGTAAGTTGAAATATGAAAATTTATTTGTTTCATGTAAGACTTGTTATGTGAGAACCCCAAAAATTATCTTTATTTTATCTTATTTCTTTGAGCACATTTTCTTTACTTTACTTCATTACCTCAATTTCCTAGATATTTTTATAAGTGAATCAAGTTTTGCCTGATTTTCTTGGTATAAGTTAGTACATGTTAAGTGTGAGAACCCTCACTTAAAAATATAAATCCTCCTAAATCACTTATGACATTTCCTTGCATTGCATTTCATTACCTTTTACTTGAATTGTAACATTTCCTTGAGTTGCCATTATTTTATTTCACCACATGCATTATGACCAAATATCCCTTTTATTATGTGTAAGACTTTATTTAATGGTTTAAGGGTGTTAATTAGGTATTGGAACATTTGGAGGGTAGAAACTTCATTAGTCAAAGATTAAAGGAATAAATGGCCAAGATTGAGCCATGTGGCAAAACCCTAATCATTCATCTTGTTTGACCAAAAGAATTAGCAAAATTTAAACCAACTTAGCTCCATTATCTCCTCCATATGGCCGACCACTTGAAGCTTCCAAGAAAAGAGACAAAACTCCATTTTTCTTGCTTTTAAACCCTAACTTGATCCTTGAGCAAAAATCAAAAGTGAAGGAACCTAGTTTAGTTGAGTTAACTACCTTCAAGCCTAGTGTGTGTTTCAAGCTTGGAGCTTTTATTTTGGTGGCTTTTGGGTGATTCAAGCTTCACTTAAGGAAGGTAAATGATCTTTGAATCTTAGCTTTATGGTGTTATATCAAGTGTTTAAAGTTTTAATGGCAAACTAGGAGTTGAATGGATGATATTTGTGGTGAAACTTCTTGAACTAAACAAGTGGAAGTAGGGTTGGTTGTTTTGCATACCATGTGTTTGATATTTTGTCCAAGCTTTGTTTATGGTTTTACTTGATGTATTAACATGTTTTGGACCCTTTTTGAGCTAAGGACAACTCTTGGAATGATGCTTAAGTTAACTATAATGAAGGGATGAAGGTTGGTGTTGCAAGGGAACTTGTAGATTGTTTTGGTTTCTCTTTGCTGTGCAGCCTTGGAGTGGAGAGTTTTCCTTGCTTTTTGTGACTCATGTGCACCTTAATTAAGCCTAGGAAACTTGGCTAAACATTGGTTAAGCTTATGTGTGAGTTGAGATGGAAATGAAGCAAGCAAGTGGTTGTTTTGGGCAACTAGTGGACTGTTTTGGTTCTCCTTTGTTGGCTAGATTGTTTTGGTTCACTTAAGCATTATGTATGTTACATTTTAAGCCCCAATGGTGCTAGATAACTTGATCCCCTGTATATGAACTCTAGGAGGTTGAATTGGATGAATTTGAGCCAAAACAAGTGAAGTTGACAAGAGGAAATAGAGTAATTTTGTTAGAGTTTTGAGCTGATCAGAACTGAAAAATCAGCCAACTTCCCCAGATCACTGGTATTGATAGGAGAGGAACTAGAGTGTGTATTTGGTACCGTTGGAAATCCCATTGAGTCTAGTTTCCAACACCACTAACGGCACCTGATTCCGACCTTCATACAGAGAGATATGGCCGTTTTTCCAAGACTGCAAGGGCACGACTGTTTTACCCTCGTAGACTACTTTGAACTTAAATGAGATTTTCCTTTTGCTCAACTTTCTTGCACTTGTCAAACTTGTTTTCTTATGACATTTTCCTATATTTTTGGTTGAACTTGCATGGTCAATTGAGTAGATTTAACCACTCACTTGGTCACCTAATGAACTTACATTTGGGTTGAAAATGAACCAAGAATGTTAACGACTTTCACTCGTTGCCCTAGGATTTGGGAAACGGAGGTGATGGTTATATGCTATATATATGCTTGATTTAGTGAGTTTTTGGCCCGGTATGTATATGCTTGAGTTGAGGCTATTTTGTGGTAAGAATGAAGTCTTGAATTGGCTGGAAAAAAATGGTAAATACAAAGGAAGTGCTGCTGAAAATTTGTCCGCAGGGAACCTTGGGCAGTCTTACAAAATCTGTTATATCTTGGTGTATAAAAATCAGAATTGAGTTCTGTTTGTTTTGTTTGAAACTAGATTCAGATTACTTTCTACTGTACAAATTTCATAACTTTTCTCAATTTCTATGAATATCTGTGATTTTTCAAACTTGACTAATTTTCCATACCTGTTCTGTCTTTTGACTGGATGATGCAGCAACTTGAGGCTGGAATTTGACTAACTTGTGGACTGAATCTTACAAATGTGTCTTCTGGGAAATTGTAACTCTTTGAGTCTGTTTTCCGATGGTATAAAGTTTATAAATTTTGGACTTAAGAAGCTTGAGATATGATTTTTCAAATAATGTTGCGCAAAAACTAGAAAATTCTGTTCTCTTAGAACCGTTTTTACTTTCATTCCCACTTTAAGGTTGGAGTTGGTTAATCATTTTGGATATGGTTTATGAGTGGAATTGAGGTTTAAGTGAAAGGAAATGAAGTCTTAGAAACCTTAATTTCTTCATGTATTTTGGCTTTGTATTGCTAGCCTTTTTATATAATATGTGACCACAGGACTCGAAAGAGTTCAAGAGGACGAACCAAGGTTAAAGTGAAGGGTGGCAATTGATTGGTGAGTGTTCCAAGTACATGAAAATATTTACATGGAATGTCTCCTTGCTTGAATAACATGCTTACTTGGTTAAAGTAATTGCTCTTGAATTGATAACCTTTGGGACGAGGATGTACTTTATCATACTCGATAATTTGTAGTTCATTTCGTGATATTGATATGAAATGAAATGCTTTGTTTGCACTTGACTTGTTGGTCACTCGGGTGGCTATCCCACCGACTTACGTGTTACATGCTCATTGTTGTTAGACAATGCTAGGTACTTGATTTCTTGTCTCATAGGCAAGTGTGTACTTTATCGCACTTGACCTAACTCGACTAAATTTGTGAGATTTTGTTAAAACATGAGTTAGCCGTTTTGTTACAACTGAAAAGTGGCCGGATTTGCTGAGAAATTTTCTGATTTCTGCAGCTTTCTTCCAATTTTCTTGTTTGATCAGGGTTCTTAACTACCTGATTTTCAACTGTTTGGACATGAAATACTTGAAATGCTTGAAACATGATATGCTGAACTTATTTGTGATTTGAATCTGTTTAGGCGAGTGTGCTCTTATGTACACTCAATTGACCCGACTTGACTGAACACTTGATATTTCCTTCATGCATTAACAAGTAATTTGATTTGTATATGACCTATATATTGACTTGAAATACTTGGTATACTTGAGAATGTGAATTGCTGGACATTACCTGTGACTTGATTCTGGCTAGGCGAGTGTGTCCTTATCGCACTCGGCCTCCCCTTCTTGAATGATCTTGTATTCGCTTGCACTTGATTGACATGTACTTGTATTTGTGCATGTGCTTGACTTGTAAGTGCTGAGCGGTAGAATGTACTACACTCCATCCGAGTGGGAGGTGCCTCTCATCCCGTTTTAATACTTTTATCTTGATTAAGTCGATTGGAGAGTTATCTCATCGACATTAGTGTTGAGCGGTAGCATGTGTCGCGCCCCACTTTTTGAATGTGGTGGTGATGTGTGTGAGTGTGTAGTGAAATGTGAACGTGTGTAAATGAAAAGTAAAAGGCCATGGGACTTGAGAATGCGACGATTTGGCCAAACAAAGTTCAAAAGGGGGTTTTTAATGAAAAAATGGAGTCGCCACTTGGTATAGAGTTAGGGTGTACCAAGTCACCCAAAAAGAAATTTTCTAAAGGAAAGATAGAAAGAAACCCCTTTTGAACGACTCCTAGTCCACGTAAACCAACGAAAAAGGTTCGGGAGTCACATTTGACGAAGGGGAAGGCAAGGATAAAAATCCAAGGCACCCCTTCGACCTAGCCAAGGCTAGTTGCGTGATTTAGCCCAACCTTTCCTAATTTTTCTACCCAAGGTATGTATAGCGTATTGGATATGACTATATGAATGCAAGAACCTAGACCTAGGGGACATGGGGGAAATTTCTCTTCAAAGGGTGAGTGGTGCTAATCACATTAATTGTGAAGCCCAATAATGATCCTTTGGAGAGGTCACACATAAATCTAAATGACGTACAAATGAGTGGAATGCATGCCATGTGAAAATGTGAGTTTGTGTGAAGTGAGAAAAATGATAAAAATAATAGGATGTAAGTGGAGGTGTGCAAATGAAGATAAAAAGTGTTCGTGTGCAAGTGAAGGGATATAAAGGTGCACGTGTGCAAATGAAAGTGTAAAGTGTGAGTAGTTAAGTGAAAACGTCCAAAAGTAGTGTGAAGTGAGAATGTAGAAAAAGAGATAGAATATAAAGTAAGCGTATGTGATAGTGAATGAAAAATGCATGAATCCTATAGGAATGCATCAAGACGGGAACGGGGAGTCCTAACTTTGTGACTTAATCTTCCCTTTGATTAGAAGGCAAAACTAGCGTGCTAAGGCTATCGAGTAGCCACACTCGCTCGTTTCCCTTATCGAAAGGGGACTCTCAAGCAAATGAGCCCTATAACTAGTATGAGATGCAAAACCTAAAAATGAGGGGAAAGGGGAATCGAGGAGCATGCCAGATGATAAAACTAAGGAAAAATGCATGATATGTAGTGAACAGACAAATAATGCATTAATGAAAAACAAAGGAAAAATCCTATTGGGTCTAGTGTTGGACCAGCCCTTTCTATGGATTCCTACTAGCGTTGGACTAGTGGAAACGTACATTCATCCATCACATTCATTCATAGCTATGGAAAGCGAGTAGACATGTCCAACACTTATAAACACGTAGCACATAACACTTAGCATGCTCGACTAGATGCAAGAGCCTAATAAAGCAAATTAACACATAGTGACTAAACATGCAAGACACATAAAGCAATTAAAGCCCTAACTATTACATTTGCTAGCTAGGCACATGTCTTCAACAGGTCTTCATCGAATGCTCCTCCAAGCCCTATCTATTACAAGCCAAGAGGTGTACACATACCCCATAATGAAATGCTTAAATAAAAGTAAAAGTAAATGAAACAAATGCAAGGAATTAAGTAAAGGCAAGGAAAGCGAAATAGGCATGCATATTCACATAACACGTAGGAGCACGTATACCTCCCTTGCAATGGAAATCGAGTAAATGAGATATTAGCTTCAAAACAATAAAAAGGTCAAGGTACCAATTTATTTGGCAAATAATCACAAAGGATAAAAAATAAGCATGAATTTGAATCAATTAAATCATGTCGACAATTCACATTTAAGAAGTCAAGAGAAGAAAGGACCTGATTGCAAAGATTGACAAAAGTTTGGGGCCAAAATTAAAGAAAAATAAAGTTCAAGGACTCATTTGCAAATAAAGTAAGGACCCAATTGAATGAAACTGAAAGTTGTTGGGGCCATAGTGAAAACACTCGAAAGTCAGGGGACTGGAATGAAATTTCGTTATCAGGCTTCTTGGCAAAACAGACCATTGGGCCATTTGTATTTATTTCGTGGGCCAAGACCTTCCAAACCCAATCGGAAATCCCAAAACAAATGGGAATGGGCCATTGTCACCTTTCTTGGGCCAAGATCACTTGGCCCAATCGGGAGTCCAAGGAAAAACAAGGGGGCTAGTATATTATTTTTGCCCAAACAAATAGCCAAACAAAAAGATGGGCCTTGACCCTTTAGCCCAAACCAAAAAAAAACAAACCAAATAAACTAAAACAACTTTCTTAAACTCAAACAAAAATAAACTCTTGGCCCAAAACACTTGTTTCATTAAATCCAACATGATAAAATCAAATAAAATTAATAATCCCCAATTAGAACCTACAAACAAGAACTAATCTAGTTAAAGGACTATTCATGCTTATTAAAAGATGACTCAAATCTAAAAGGGAGAAACAAACGCACTTTTTCCAATTTTCGGGTCATATCAGAACAAGGGGGACTTGGGGGGTTCATATGCAATAAAAGCAGGGACCTAATTGAAGGACTTATGAAAGTGTGGGAGGCAAATGGGACTGAAATTGCAGTTCTGAACAAATGTTCATCTTCTCCAACGAGCTAATACCAGTTAGCATTTCAGCAACCAGAAATCTGGTTTCAATTTCTAACCATTTCAACGAACAATGAGACTCTCAATACTCCCTCTCATAACATCAATTCGAATTCAAGCATAAAGACATGAAAAAAACTAATCTAGTTAAAGGACTATTCATGCTTATTAAAAGATGACTCAAATCTAAAAGGGAGAAACAAACGCACTTTTTCCAATTTTCGGGTCATATCAGAACAAGGGGGACTTGGGGGGTTCATATGCAATAAAAGCAGGGACCTAATTGAAGGACTTATGAAAGTGTGGGAGGCAAATGGGACTGAAATTGCAGTTCTGAACAAATGTTCATCTTCTCCAACGAGCTAATACCAGTTAGCATTTCAGCAACCAGAAATCTGGTTTCAATTTCTAACCATTTCAACGAACAATGAGACTTTCAATACTCCCTCTCATAACATCAATTCGAATTCAAGCATAAAGACATGAGACTAAAACAGGAAAGCTACAACGACTCCACACAGCAAATGTTCCATTTTCTTCATACGTAAAGCAAGCGAAATCATCTTCAAGTAGAAGGTTCATTCGGGCATTTTAACAAACAGCAAATGGGCATGAAAAAACTCAACAGATTTCTGCTCAAATTACATTACAATCGGCCCCAAAATTATCAGAAAAACAAAGAATTCAGTCCAATCAACATATGCATCATGTGTATTCAGAAATTAAGATCAACTAACAGAAAAATTGCATCAAATGATGCCACGGCAGACCCATTTCAAAGCTTGAGAGAAACTGAAATTTGAAGAAAATAACTTACAGGGCTATAATTTCTGAAGTCGAATTGAATCTGGAGAGGGGGGGTGGCGCTGATGGTAGACGGCTCTGTGGAGATGGCAGTAGAAGCCCCTGCTGCTTTGATGGCTACGGTGGCAGCGACGGCAGTGGGAGTTGAAAGGCGGCGGCAGAGGTGGAGAGTAGCAGACAGCAACAGCGACGAGTGCGGCCTGGAGGTGGCTTGGGCAGGCGGTTGGCTGCTTGTTGGTCGCGCCGGAGAAGAAAGGTGGCGCACGAGGTGGAGGTGCCGTGGCGGGGCTCGGATTGCGGCGGACCTCCTGGTCTTTGTTTCCTCACTTTTCGTTTAGTTCTTTCGCCTCTGCCCAAAATTCCTCCTCTAAATTCCAGATTTCGGCCGCCAGTTTCTTCTTTTTTTTAGTTCCGTTTCTTGCTCTTCCTAAGAACATTGGTTTCAACTCTTGAATTAATTGAGGTTGATTGTGTGGAACAAAGTTTTTAAAAGGAAGGAAACGTGAGAAGGCAGATTAGCCTTGGAACATTTCTTGAACTTCAGTTATTTTAATGACTGCCTTCCCGTGGGATTTTTTGCATGAAACTTGGTAGAAATGTTGTTCACACATGGAAAATTTAGTGTACCAAGTTTGGTGTATTTCAAATGCCAAATCAATGGCCAAATGATACTTCAAAGATAGCCTTTCAAACCTAGGAAAATGACAGAACCGTTTATAAAATGCGACCAACTTTGAACTGATGTATCTCGACACCCAAAACTCCAAATTTATTTCTGCTTGTTGTGTTTGAAACCTTGTTTAGAACTCTTATCATAGTACGAATTTCAGAGGCTAGTTCACTTTCTGTGAATTTTACCAAATTTTCAAAGTTTGCCAAAAAAATAAGACTAAAACTGTCATGTAGTGCGAATCAGCCACTTTAAGCTGAAATTTGAGTGTTTTCCATTTAGAATCTTGGAAAAGTGTCTAACTTTTAGTACTTTGGAACTAGTTTCTAACGGTATCAAGTTTTCCAATTTTGGACCTACGGAGTGTAAGATATGATGATTTTTCAAAAATTGCTCCCATAAACTGAAATTTTTGAACTTGAAGAGAATTGAGTTTTTAGAAACTCTTCATTACCCTTCGATATTAAATGACTATTTTAGACTTAATTTCTTGAGGGAAAACAGTTTTTCCTTGCATTATTAAACCCCACTTTTGAGTCTCGATTTACGAGTAATTAAGGCTCTTTTTCATGATATTTTCTTAAATTGTACAAGTGTACAATCTCCTTTGTTAACTAGGGGTTATAAGCGATAGTGTATGATAGTTAATTATTATTTGCTCAGGCACTCAAGGAGACCTTCAAGAGGATCTCACAGTGGACGCCTAAAACCCTTACTTGGACATTACTTCCTTGTTTTTAATTGATGTGTGTCAAGTGCATGTTTTGTTGCAATTATGTGAATTGCTCCTTATGGACTGAAAAATTTATAACTGCTGAGTTGAGTGTGTACTTTATCGCACTCATTCTTATTTAAATGAATTGAAATTTAATTGCATGAATTGAATTGAATTACCTGAACTAAATTGAACTGAATTATATGCTATGGCTGCATATGTCGTTGGAGTGAATCTCCTCGATCCATAACTGAATTGCAAACATATCGTTGGAGTGAATCTCCTCGATACACAACTGAACTGGGTGTAGACACCAAATTTTTAGTGTAGTTTTATTTACTATTACTTTTATTTTTTATGTTAGTTTTTATTTACTTTTAGTCTTCAATTTTTTAAGTCATTTTAGCCTAGAATTTATCAGAAAAAAAGAAAATCATTCACAAAAATATGCTTTAGTTATTTTAGATTCAAGTTCATTGTTATTTAATTAAAAAAAAGAAGAAAAAAGGAAAATCATCACTCAAAAAAAAAATCTTAAAAATCTTAGCATTTTTATCTTTTATTCCTAGTTTTGTTTCATTGCATCCGATTTTTACTTAAATTGTCATTAATTAAATGATTCTTTCAAAAAAAAAAGAAGAGTGAAAAAAAAGAAAAAAAGGCAAGCTCACGGACCCTGAGAAGCATATGATCCAAACCCTTCTTCTTCATTTTTATTTACAAAGCGCAGATACGGAAAAAAAAATTCCAGCTCGATTGTTTTATTCAGTTTTTCCTCCTCCGTCTGATGATCTTGACAGAGAACACTTGGCTTGATCCAAGGTTTATCAGAAACCATGAAAATCAAAGGTTGTAAAAATGCAAAAAAATGGAGTTTATTTCTGCGCCTTAGATGTTAGGTTTCAGTGGTAAGCTTCCCATATAAAAACTGATGAAAAGCTAGAAAGGGACGGGGGCTGAAGAGATAGAGGGCGGCTAGGGTTTTAGAGGGAAAAGGAAAAAATGAAAAGAAAAAGGGAGAGCTAGCAGGGCTGGGTAAAAGGAAGCAAGAAAGGTCGTGGGAAAAGAAAGAACTTCAAAAAGGAGAGAGCTTGGAGCTTCGGCAGAGGAGAAAGAAAAGAGCTTTGGGCGGGGAAGGAAAGAGAAGAGAACAAAAACAAGAGACCGAGAGAGGGTGGAGGTGGAAGGTGAGAACATCTAGAAACCAGGGTAAAGGAAAGGGAGCTTCGGTTAAGATCAGAAAACAGGAAAAGGAACGAAAAAAAAAGGGAACTTTGCAGAAGATTTTTCGACAGGAAAAGGCTGACCTTTTAGCCTCCCTCGGATGCATTTTTCTCTTTGGATATAGCTTTGTTTGAGGTGATTTAAATTTCTGAATAATCTACGTCATTTGGGGAGGAGATTTCGTGTTGAACATTTCTGGAAAAAACCACTGAAACACCCTTGAATCGAAGCTCCAAGTCGCGAGTTTGTCCCTGCCGCATGCCGCTGCGATGAAATTTTCTTGGCTTCGTTTCAGCCAACTTTCCCGCTTCATTCTGATCTCCCCAGGGCTCCTCAGGGAGAGATCTCGGTTTCTGGATAAACTACATCATCAAAGGAGCGATTCTTGTTGAGAAACATTCTGGAAAGGACGTCTCCATCCTCTCCAAACTTCATCCCCCTGGTAGCAAGGTCGTCAGCCTTAGGTGTCTTCACCAAAAATTTGCCGCTTCGAAGTTGGTATCTGGACGCGATCTTTTCAATCTTTCCTTGCTTACTGGACCTAGTAAAGTGCTAAAGGTAATCCTTTTTGCCTTCTATCTCTCACGTTAGCTCAGATTTTCCAAATATGTCAAAGACCTTGATGCATTTTGTTCGCTTTGTCATTTTTGCTTCCTAGAACAGCCGTTGGTTGGGTTTTATTGAATTATTCGTTACCTGATGTTTGTATTTGGGAGATCAAGCTTGATATGTGATATCTTGGGTTATGTTAACAATGGTGCTATGGGAATTTATGCGGGTTTAGTTGACAGAAAAATGAGTTTTGTTGCATTCTTTTCGTATGATATCAGCGTGGGTTTGAGCTGCCAATTTGTATCAAAAATTGCAGTAGGAAACCTTGACCGAATTTAATCCGGAATGAATCTTGAATGGGCTGTTAGTTTGCTAGTTTCATAGCTTCCTTTTCGTTTGCATGGTCGAGATTCTGTCTCAAATTTTTCCTGAGCGACGTGGGTTGCTAAAATGAGTTCAGTTGCAGAATGTTTTTCTTTGCGGCTTTGCTGCATTTTATGTTCGGTTTCTTTGAGTAGATCTTTTGGGGAATAGATGATTGTTTTTTAGGTTAACAATATGAGTTAGAAGTCATGGCATTGGAGAGTTCGCATGGACAGATTACTAAGCTTTCATTCCCATTACTTCGTATGATCATCTTTCGGTCCGTAGCTACAAATTGCAGAATGTTATTTCTATGTTTGCATGATCATTTTTCCGAGTTTCAGATGTTTAAACATAAGATTTTTGCGGTTAAAAGGAGAAAAATGTTTGGGTAATCTTGTCACTTCAGTCCAAGCCTTTGTGTGTAGTTGTTAATTGTGTTCGGATGAGAAAGGATCGCATCAGGAAACCTGAAAGTGGAAATGAAAAACGCAGCAAAGTCTTTCCGTAGCTTTGCATGGAAAACTTTCAACAATTGCCCTTTGACCCCCTGTCCTTTCATATACTTCCATTATGAGCCAACCAATTGAATAATTTCCTCAATTTGGTCCTTGGCAGCTTTAATTTTACAACTTTTCATTGCTTGTTTGCTTCAATTAACTACCATGCTTTGTTTAAATTGCACTTAATTCATAATTTTAAGGGTTTTGTATCCAGGTGAGGTTGTGTTTGCATATTTTCTTTAATTTTTCCAAATAAATTGGTACCTTGACCTTCTCTTTTATTTTGGAGGATAAATAAGTGATTTCACTCCACTAGGGTCCCGACTCAAGGGAGGTACACTCTATCCTTTATTCTTGACTTTATTTGACCTTATGTGCCTTATGTGACTTTACGTGCTCAATTGCATGCCATTTGAATGCTTTCATTTTATTTATTTATTTATTCGCTTTATTTGTTTTAATTTAGTATTTTTATTTTATTTTAGCTCAATTTTTGATCATTTGAAAGGCACTTGAATGCCACAATTGTAATAGTTAGGCTATTATATCATTTCATTTAATTCCTTCCCTCTTAGATTGTAGTAGGCTTCCCCCCCGAATGTAATAGTTAGGGCTTTATTTGTTTTACTCGCCTTATGTGTGTTGCATGCTTACGTGCTATGTGTTACCGCTTTCTTAGGTTTTGGCATCTAGATATGCATGCTTATGTGTTATGTGAATTACGTGCTCATATGTCTACTTGCTTTAATTGTGCACACTACTTATATATGTGTATGATGGATGCAAATGCACGTAACCGTGGCTAGTCCAATGCTAGTCATGGTTGTCCCCTCGAGCTCTTGCAAGTCCAATGCTTGTGAGAGAGCGTAGATGTGGGCTAGTCCAATGCTAGACCCAATAGGGCCGCCCCTCGCTAGTACATACTTGCATGCCCTCAATACATCTTCATTCATTTTTCTCTTTTTCGTTTTACATATTTGCATGACCCTTTACTCCCTTTCCCTTGCACATTTAAGGTTGCATTTCATTCTAGTTATTAAGGTCATTTGTTTGATTAGATTAGGGATACCCCTTGAGTATGGGATATGGACGTGTTTGGCTTTTCTAGCCTTAGCACGCTCGTATTCCCTCTATCAAAGGGAAAATTGAGTCACGAACATTAGTCCCCCGTACCCGACATGATGCATTCCTTTAAGACATGTATATTTCTATAATTATTTTATTCTTTTCCTTTTCTTGGAGTCTCATATTTTTGCATCATTCGTGACCTCTCCAAAGAGTCATTATTGGGCATCACAATTAATGTGATTGGCACCATTCAAGCTTTGAAGAGATATTTTGATCCCCCGATACCCTCCTAGGTCTAGGGTTGCATTCATATAGCACGTCCAAATGTGATAAATCTTTAGGTTAAAACAAGAAAATCTTTGACTAAATCACGCAACTAGCCTTGGCTAGGTCGAAGGGGTGCCTTGGATTTTTATCCTTGCCTTCCCCTTCGTCAAATGTGACTCCCGAACCTTTCCTTTGATTTTCGTAGACTAGGAGTCGTTTAAAAGGGGTTTTTCTACTTTTTCCTTTGAAAACTCAATTTTGGTGACTTGGTACACCTTAACTCAATACCAAGTGGCGACTCCGATTTTTATTTCAAAACCCTTTTTAAACTATTATTTTGGGTCGAATCGTCGCATTTTCAAGTCCCATTTAGACCCATATTTTTCTTCATTTTCTTTGTAAATCCAAATTCATTTTTCAAATCAAAAATTCACTTTTTAAACTATTTATTTATTTATTTTTCTTTTATAAAAATGGGGCGCGACATTGGGGGATGCCCAAACTCATCGGCCGACCTTGGACTTGAGCCGGCATGGGCTTGGTCGGGAACCTTGGTGAGCCATGAGATAACTGAAAGTTTGATCTATTGAGAGATCTTGCTTGGTCTACTCGTGTAGTAGTGCCTTTATAGTAGTTCAGGCCCGGTAGGGGTGCATGGTGGACGGAACTGTGAAGTAAGTGGAGTTCTACGGAATTAAAATATCGATCCGGTTGACGGAGTGTCATCACGGGAAGGTATGCAATCGAGGTTTGGCGAAGCAAGTGGAACTTAGCTCCTGAGAGCTCCTATATCCTTGAATTGTTTATGTTTACTTTTCTCACTCGAATTGTTATTTACTTGAATACTACTGTTATACTTGTTAAATGGGATTGTTACTTGGATTACGTGCTTGCATGTGTATTTTTTGGCCTCACGAGCAATCGCTCACCCGTAAATTTGTTTTCCTTAACAGGTTGGATTGGAAGATTTTGGAAAAAGCCAACTAGGTTATACTTTTTGTGAGAACCCGTAAATTTTCTTATTTTCTAGGGTTTATTTTATTTAATCGCATGCTTTTCTATAATTTCTTGCTTAGGAAAAATTTTCTAGATAATTTTTATGAGTAAATATAGTTTTCAGATGATTTTTCTAGTATCGGTTAGTTTTTGAGAAATTAAGAGCGTATACCGGACGTGGGACCCACTAGTGCTGAAAGTTCGGTAAAATTTGGCCAGTTAAATTAAGCTTTGCATACCGGGATTAATTTAGCAGGTGTTAAGAGATAACTAGAGGTCAATAGATGAATTAGTGTGAGAGGAACAAAAGGATAACCATGTATTAATTGAAGTGACAAATGTCACTTGGTGACTAATCCTTAGACTTTGACCACACTATTCACTACTTTACCAATTTAATCAAAAATTACCCAAAAATCATCCTTATTTGTAAGCTTCATGGCCGGCCCTCTCTAACGAAAAAAGAAAAGAAAACTCTCCACTTTCTTACCTCCAATCTTGTTCAATCTTCAATTCTAACCGATTAACCTTGGATTTCCTCCATAAAACCTCTTAGTCTAGTGGTATTAAGGTGAGTGGTGAAGTGGTTTGAGAAGCAAATGTGCTAAGTTGCTTGTATTCTTGAGGTCACAAGGTGAGTTGTTAAGAATTTTTTCCTTTAGCTTTGATAATGTGCAATTGGTGGCTTTAGTGGTTTAATATGATGACATATGGTGTGATTATGGTTTGTTTACGGTTGGAAGTGAAGGTTTGATGAATTTTGATTTCTTATTGTTATTTTTCTATTTTGTATGATAATCATGGTTTGGTCATGGATTGAGGGCTTATTATAGTGTAAAATGGAGCTGATATATGTGGGATATGATTGGTTGTGTAACATTTCTGGTTTGATACTAAAATTCCAGATTAGGGTTTCAAGTAACCCCATTCTGCCCGGTACTATTTCTCCTAGTTAGAGGCTAAATTAGCCTTGGATTAAAACATGAAAGTTGTAGAGAATGATGTTTTATAGTTTCCTACAAAACTTCAGCCCAGTCGGAGCAACGTAGCCTGTGAAAATACTGAAATACCCCTGCTGCCCTGTTTCTGTTCGAAACTGATAATCAGCTTCTGTAATTGGTTAGTTTGACTGGAAATACTACTGATTTGGTTGTCGATGTCTTCTTAAGAATTATAGCCTGGTATCTTAGCTTTCATATGGCTTTAGAATCACTTGAATTGGAGTTGTATGTGTTGAGATATGATTGAATGAATCAGGACTGCTAGTTGAACTGCGAACTGAAAAATCTGGGGTTGTTTTGGTAAATTTGACCTAGATACATTGCAAACTGGACTGAGTGGCCTTCTTCAACATTGTAGCCCTTTCTCTTATCTTCGAAACGGTGTAAAATACACCTCAATCCGACAAGGGTAGCTTCAGTTTTGTTAATTCCGCTAAGCAACAGCAAATCTGCCTTTTGTTTTCCAATCTAAACTTCGTCTCCGCACATGTCCTAGTTTGATTTTTACACTTATACGTTCCATTTGATTTCACTCTAGTAGTATGTGGGTTCGGTTTATGACTCGCATTCGAGTCTCATTGTGCTTGTTTGAATGTTTTAGGGCGTGACGGTGATTCAAGACGCTCTTTGGGCGGAAGTGTATGAAATTTCATTTGCTTGCTTGGTGAGTGTACTACTCACTTGTTTGTTACTATGTGGCTTTGTTACATTTGAAATTGATGCCTTGAATGCTTATTTGCCCATTGAAATTGGTTCAAGCAGGGGTGTACTTGATCACCCTCACCCTTTATGTCTTACATATGACTGTTTACTGTGTTACTTGAATGGTATATGAATATATTGGAATTGGTGTCGTTTGGACGAGTATCCAACGGCCATTACTGTTATTACTGAACTCAACCCCATTGGTGGTCAATTGAATCGAGCCGGCAAGGGGCTTGGTCGTGAAAATCGACGAGCCATGGGGACTGTTATATGGAATCGTGTAGTATGAGATTCTCGATTCCAGTATACTCGAGTATTACCAATTTTCCACTGTTTGGAGTTCGGGCCCGGTAGGGGTATGTTGGGTGGAAGGAATGGAAGTAAAGTGGAGTCTATGTTTGGTTACACTTTGTACATTGACGGAGGGTCAATGAGATACGATCTAGTATGGCGAGCGAGGAAAGGGGCTCTTGAGAGCCGTCCGTATCCTTTTACCATTGTTATTGATATATGACTTTATTTAGCTTTCTTCTTGAATGATTTGGGATTGATCGACTTCATGCATAATTGAACTTCCTTGCTTGAGTGAAAGTATCTCACTGGGCGTAAGCTCACTCCATTAAATTTTGTTTTCCTTACAGGGCACCACTTTTGGGGAATATGATGTTTTGAAGCACGAGTTGAGCTCGTTTTAATATATTTTTGCAAAGCTCCTCGATAGTTGGAAAACCCTAAATGTATTTGGATCTAATTAGCTTCCTTTTGTTCTGTAAATTACAAACGTATGTGTATAACACCGTTTGACCCTGTTCATGTATCATATTTGGTTTTGAAATGTTTTCCCGAGTTATGTAACATGAAACCCGCTATTCATTGGCGGTTTTGATTTTTGTGTTGTTATTTTGCCATTTTGTATAGTTTGAGCGCACGTTCATGTTCCCGGAACGTTTTAGATCGTGTTTGATTGCACCGTTAGTCCTGCTGAGAGTTGGGCAGGCAGTCCGCTAACCTCTTTGGTTCGCCTTAGGGGAAGGTGGGGCTGTCACACTTTTGATTGGAATCTTGGTTGTAAATGTTTAGTCAACTTTTAATGGTTGTATTTTGGGACTTGATGTATCTTTTGAGAACATGATGTAAGATTTGGATATTCAGTCAAGGAAGCGATTTCTCTTCATTTTAGACTTGTATTATTTGGTATGTATCGTTAAGTTTGAATTGAATTGTCTTGAGTCCCGGCGAGAGTTGGGCAGGCGTCCCGCGGATATGCTTGGATTCGCCCTTGGGAGAAGTGGGGGCGTACATCAAGTTACTGTGGAACTTGCTCCTGAGTATAACCTATATCCTTTGCCATGAATGTGTTCTTTACTGTACACTTTTACATGATGTATTTGGCTATTTGCTTAACTATATACTGGGTCATGATCTATTTGAATTTTGACTTGTTTCTTGATATCCGATGTATGGTCTTGCCTGTTATATTACCTGTTTGGTTACTTGGAATCTCACTGGATTTTTAACTCATTCCACGCCATTTGTTTTCCTTACAGGGATAAGAATATGAGAGGTTGAATTGAGGAAAGCCTCGATTTCTTCTAAGATTGTTAGTTACTCGGGCATGTACTTCATAGATATCTAGCCAGCTTGTTTGGTTCAATTTTGTAAGTCTGATTCTTTGATTGTATTTATAGGTCGTGTGGATGTTAGAGGACCATGAGTATATATGTTAAAGGTTGTAATAACTATCATTTTTTTTATTAAGGGTTTTTATTTGTAAGTTTTTATGAATTGTGACTGACCCCTGGCGAGAGTTAGGCAGGCGGTCCGCCAAACCCTTGGGTACACCCTAGGGGAAGGTGAGGCTGTCACATGTTATGTTAACTATTTACACATTTTATGGTATAAAAATGGTTTCTGCTAATTTTTTCACAAGTTAGGTTAATCAAAAAAATTTTGAATATAAAAAAAAGTCTATCTAGTTTCACAATTACAAAATAATCAATTGTCAAATACATAGGTCAAAAAATTTTTTTTTGTGCCATAGTTGTTCCATTTTCTGTGATGGTGTAATTTTACTATTTGGCAATACAAAACAGTTCCTTTGGCTATACATTCATTATTATTAATTGAAAATGGTTATAGATGTTCTATGCTTTTTTATTCATTGTTTATATTCATGAAAATATAAACAATTACTTTCCAATGCAACATTTACAATGTCAATTGATAGTACAACTTACTATTGTATGGTAAAAAAAAATTTTCTTCCCCATATATTGTATACAACTTTTACTAATTTCATATTTTCACATGATTGGTTTGTCAAAAGATTCGTTTTACTAACTATATTATCAATTAAAATTGCTTCTAGTCATTCTTTTTAGTTATTAAAAATGTTCTCCACCAATACTTAAAGTACTATATCCAAAAAAATCTTTTTCCACATAGTATCCACCATGTTAAATGATAGTACAAACTTTTTTATTTTACTGTATAAAATCACTTTTACTAATTTTTCTTTTTACAAAATTGGTTCGTCACCAAATTTCAAATACCCAAAAATATCTACGGTGTTGTTTATGGAATATTCAATTGCCAAATTCATGAACGAAAATTTATTTACCATACTACCTTTATGTTTAATGATGGTACAATTTCATTATTTAACAATACAAAATGATTTTCTTAAATGTACAATCACTATTGTTGAGTAAAAGGTTCAATCCTTTTTAGGTGGTACTTTCTTTGCTAATAGATAGTACAACTATAGTGTAAAAACAAAACTATAGTACATTTGTAGTACAATACTACTTCTTAATGGTGTATTTATTTGTTAAAGTATCTTTGATGTTCAATAAGTGCAAAACGGTTTTCTTAAATGTATATTCACTATTATTGAGTAAAAAGATTCAAATCATTTCTATTTAGTAGATTCTTTGCTAACACATAGTACAACAATGTATATTTGTAATATAATACAATTTCTTACTGGTATAATTTTTTGCCATGCTACCTTTCATGTGCCATGATGGTACGATTTTACTATTTAATAGTACAAAAGAGTTTTTAAATGCACATTCACTATTATCAAGTAAAAAGGTATCATTTCTATGTAGTATATTCTTTGCTAACAGACAATACAGCTATGGTATATTTGTAGTACAATATGACCTCTTAATGGTATATTCATTTGTCAAAGTATTTTTCATGTTCAATGGTGGTACGTTTTACTAGTTAATAGTATAAAACGGATGTTTTAAATGTACATTCACTATTATTGAGCAAAAAATGTTCAAATCATTTTCATGTAGTACATTTCTTTGCTAATAGGCAGTACAACTGTGTATATTTATAGTGCAATATGCCTTTTTAATGGTTTATTTATTTGTCATGGTACTTTTTGTGACGCCTCCACTTCTCCCAAGAGAGAACCCAAGAGTATCCCCGGAACGCCTGTCCAACTCTCGTCAGGACTCAAGACAATTCAATTCAAACTTAATGATACATACCAAATAATACAAGTCTAAAATGAAAAAAAGTCACTTCCTTAACTGAATATCCAAGTCTTACATCATGTTCTCAAAAGATACATCAAGTCCCAAAATACAACCATTAAAAGTCGACCAAACATTTACAACCAAGATTCCAATCAAAAGTATAATCTAGTCGGCTTTTCCAAAATCTTCCAATCCACCTGTTAAGGAAAACAAATCTACGGGGTGAGCGATTGCTCGTGAGGCCAAGAAACATACATGCAAGCACATAGTTCAAGTAACAATCACTTACACAGTAGGTAAAACTATAACATTCAATTAATTAACGGTTCCAGTAGAGAAAGTAAACAGAAACAATTCAAGTATATGGTAGCTCTCAGGAGTTAAGTTCCACTTACTTCGCCAAACCTCGATCGAATACCTTCCCACGATGACACTCCGTCAATCGGGTCGATATTTTAAGTCCGTAGAACTCCACTTACTTCACAGTTCCGTCCACCATACACTGTACCGGGCCGGAACTGTTATAAAGGCACTACTACACGAGTAGACCAAACAAGATCTCTCAAATAGATCAAGCTTTCAGTTATCTCATGGCTCACCAAGGTTCTCGACCAAACTCATGCCGGCTCGAGTCCAAGGTCGGCCGATGAGTTTGGCCGTCCCCCAGTTCAGTTGTATATCGAGGAGATTCACTCCAACGACATAAGCAGCCATAACATATAATTCAGTTCAATTCAGTTCAGGTAATTCAATTCAATTCAAGCAATTTAATTTCAATTCATTTAAATGAGAACGAGTGCGATAAAGTACACACTCGACTCAGCAGTTATCAATTATTCAGTCCGTAAGGAGCAATTCACATAATTACAACAAGACATGCACTTGACACTCACCAATCAAAAACAAGGAAGTAGTGCCCCAATAAGGGTTTAGGTGTCCACTCTGAGATCCTCTTGAAGGTATCCTTAAGTGTCTGAACAAATAATAATTTACGATCACACACTATCACTTTTAAACTCCTAGTTAACGGGGGAGATTGTACACTTGTACAATCTAAGAAAATTTCATGAAAAAGAGCCATAATTACTAGTACATCGAGGCTAAAAAGTGGGGTTTAATAATGCAAGGAAAAACTGTTTTCCCTCAAGAAATCAAGTCTAAAACGGTCATTCAATATTGAAGGGTAGTGAAGAGTTTCTAAAAACTCTCAAGTTCAAAAATTTCAATTTTAAGGAGCAATTTTTGAAAAATCGTATATTACACTCTGTAGGTCCAAAATTGAAAAACTTCGCACCGTTAGAAACTAGTTTGAAAGTACTAAAAGTTCTTAGAAGACACTTTTCTAAGATTCTAAATGGAAGACACTCAAATTTCAGCTTAAAGTGGCTGACTTGAACTCCCACGGTAGTTTCAGTCTTAGTTTTCGATTAAACTTTGGAAATTCGGAAAAATTCACAGAAAGTGAACTAGCCTCTAAAATTCACAGGACTATTAGAGTTCCAATCAAAGTATTAAACACAATAAACAAAACTAGAATTGGAGTTTTGAGCATTAAGATATAGCAGCCCAAAGTCAGCTAAAAATGAGGATTGATTGAACATTTTCCAGATTTGGAAGAACAACTTTGGCCTATCATTTGTATATCAAAACAATCTTAGAATGACACTAAAATTGGTACAATTCAACTTCCATAGGAGGACTACTCCTCTATCAAATTTCATTTGAAAATTCGCAAGGGAAGGTAGTTAACTAAACTACCAAAGTTCAAGAAATTTCCAAGGCAAATCTGTTTTCTTGCTTTCCTTTTCTTTTCAAACACTCGGTCCAATGAAATCAACTCAAATCTCACTCATTTCTGAAACAAAGGTCTAAGAAACATCCAATATACATTTGGTAGGTGATTGACCTCAGAATTTTCAAAACAACAAGTTCCAAGCCAAGCTAGGCCATTCAGCTAGCCAAAATTAGTGTTTTCCAGATTTGGTATAGTTTGGGAATTGGACTATATCTCACTCAATACAGCTTGGAATTGGACATGGTTGGTGGCGTTGGAAACTACATTCAAAGGCTACATTTTATCAGAAGGAGTCATTTTAAAATTCAGTTTGCAAATAAGAGAAAATGGAGCCATAAGTTGCAGCTGCTACAATTTTCTCGGTTGCATTGATAAAACAGGGCAGTCGATTTTGATCAGTCACTACAGATAACTTACTTCGAATTGAAAGGTGCATATACACTGTTAGAAAACTACGGATGTCTAGTTTCAAATGCCGCAAACAGCACTTGATTTCGACATCCGAACAGAGAGTTATGATCGTTCAAAGATGCTCTGTCCAGAACA